TCATTGAATGGGGATTTGTGACTCAGGATTCCAACAATCTTGTGTTGCATGTTGCTCTACATGGATTAGTATTTCTGATAAAACATCTAGTTTCTTGCTGTGTATATACTGCACTCTTCTGTACATGGACTTTTGCAAATAACCCTGAAATTTAGTGAGATGCTGGGTACAGCTCCAGACATCTGAAAAACTTAGTAGCCTCTCCGATTTTACAAGTGTAGTGGACTGCAAGTCTTCAGAAAATTAAGTTGCAGCAACTGTATCTGATTGTGGGACATATTAAGTGTGCATTTCCTAACTGTTCTGTATTTGAAACCTCTAGATTTTATTCCTTTATGTACTTCGCATTTAATAAAGGCATGACAATAAAAATCTACTGATTTCAACTGTCATATTATATGGAAAGCTCTGTCTGCTCCAGTCCAGCTAGTCTGTGTTCTATCTGTGTAATGTTGTATACACCAAAATCAGCAATATGATGTTAAAAAAAAACAGCTGAAAACCCATACTCCAGAGAAGTGGCAAGAAGTGTCACAGCTAGAGTATCAGTATGGTAAGCACTGTTCATAATATAAAACAATATTAATTGTATGACAACACTGCAGCTATTTCAGATATAAAGTGAGATTTTTTAAGTACTTGAAGCAGGACTTGTCAAGAAGCACACATATCTATTGTGAAAAATGTTTCTGCCTGTCTCTGTATTAACAGTCTTCAGAATTTGCAATGCCATTAACATCCCAAAAAGGCTTGGTTTTATTTTGTTCTGCTTCACATACCTACTTGGAAGTAGGCATCACCTAAAGAGTGGAGAAATTTTGCATCAATTTTAATTTAAAAATTATTGCTCTGTTCGTCGTGAGTGATGAACATATAAGCACCACTTACAAACACAACATGAGAAAATACGAACTAAAACTTTTTTATACAGCTCCCTTAACATGGTCGTGTTGAGAAGAAACAATAGTTTTGTCACAGAGGAATAATGAAGCATGAGGAAGGAGAGGGCCTAAACTATAGGGGTCTTTACTGAAAATTTTGATGATGAACATCATCTTTGTTTTCCATTTGTTACAAGCATTACTACAAAAAAAAAAAAAAAGTCAGAAGTTTTCACATTCCCATTCTTATTCCTAAAATGGTTTTTTTTTGGACTCTTGGGTTGAACACATGAACAAGTACACATAAACAAGTACACACAAACATGTACACAAAAACACAGTCACAGAGGCACACACAAACACAGAAGCAAAGCAGGGGAGAAGAATTACCAGCAAAGTAAGACTGCATCAGCGAAACTGAGAGAATTGCCCAGTTGACTGCTACCAACACCCAAAGTAGTAAATTGATTCTGTCTTTAAACACACAGAAAATAAGTAAATCCAGACTTTTACTATTCTTGGAAACTACCAAACCTTTGTTTAGGCAAAAACAAATTCTAAAAAACCTTCAGAAAACAAAAATATCCTTGTCAATCTAGTGAAAAACCTGTACCCAACCTTTAGGGCTATTTCACCCTTCTCATACAATAGTCTTACTTCATTTCTTTGCTCTTTGTTCATTTTTTCAGTGTCTTTCTTTCATCCTATTATTGCATTTTTTCATGTTACTGTTTTGTCTTTGGCCTGCTTTTTCCTCTTCCTTAAAAGTCACAGTCAGAAACCTTGCCAGCAAAAAATCCCACTCAAAGCCTGTCATTCAATATTTCCCCAAGAAGGAGAAGTCCTGACCAAGGAGATGTTTACAATGGATGAAGACAAGTGCAAGAGAAAAATTCACTGCATCCTTCCTCCTCTAATTCGAAATTCAGGATCTACCCCAAAATAATTTAAAAATTTGTGTTTTTACACAAATGTTATTTAGTAAATTGTGTAAAATGAGCCATTAAAATTGGACAGACATGGTAAAAAAAGTATTCCAGCCTTTGTCACTACTACCAGTAGTGTAAACCTGTAGAAGAAAAGAAGAAGAAAGAGCAAGAAAGAACTGAATTTTTATCTAGGTGGAGAGTTTCTCTGATCAAGAGACATGAACCCATTCACATACAATCCCACTGCTATGGGATAGAACCCATACTAGCTAAGAAAAATGTTATGATAATATGATGTCATTGTGACATCTAGAATGTAACAATTTCTTTTTACTGTGGCTATATGAGGAAATTGGAGGAAATGAACAGGTATAAACTGCACTACACAAACTAATGCAAGATTTCTGTAGGTAGCATCAAGTCTGACCACATAGTGTTAATTTATTGTAAACTAGCATCTTACCAGGGGACTAGTCTGTGAGACAAGTGCTTTTAAGTGGGAAAAAAATGGATTCCCCAGTCTGAATTTCTTTAATCCATTTCATTACACTACAGACAATTACTTTGTCATATTTATATGGGAATATACATGCACTGTATGACCAATGACATGTTTCTTCTTTTAAAAATTATTTTCAACCTCAAGTTTTGGATTCCACATGTTGTGCAGTGCTCAGCCTTGGACAGGACTGTGGGGATGAAGATTTTAGTTTAGGTAACTTAAATTATAGTTAATCCTCTGTGCCACTCTGGAAGTTCAGCCTCCAGTGCATACAGGCCTCAGATGCAGAACAAGCTGACCTCTTAGAAATGGTTTCTGATTTCTGTATCTGCCTGGGCCTAAACAACATCATCATCATCATCATCATCATCATCATCATCATCATCATCATCATCATCATTGTCATGATTCTACAGGGAGAAAGTCAGGATTTCACATTTTGACTAAGACTTCATATGTTAAGACCTATTCACTGGCAGAATGAGACAGCTATGAAAGAGCAGCAACTGCACACTGTGCAGATTCAGAAAAAAAAAAGTACCCCAATATATGTTTAATTTCACTCCAGATTAGTTACAGTCTGGAATTTAAATGCACACTTCAATGCCTTCTCAGACACGGTCACACAATAGACCTGCAGGTCACACAACAAAGTACTCTCATATTTATGGGTTATTGATTATTTCTACTGAAGTCAGAGAGTTCTCCCAATTTTAGGTATTATGTTAAAATACATCTGGGGCAATACAGCTTGACAAGTCAACAGTGAGCAATAAGTAACTGAAATATGAGCAGTTCTTACACTGAGAGAGATGTACTTTCTTATTTTGATATTTGAGCATCTAACAAAACGTCATGGTTTCAGTATTGGTCAGGTCCTTTCTTACCACATCCTCCCACCCTGTGTTATATATCTCTTCCTATATTGGACAAACTAATATCATTTAGGTGCTGCCAAAGGAAAGAAATAAAATTTCTGGAAGATTAAAAAAAAAAAAAAAAAAAAACATGATAAAGAGACTAATACCACTTCTTTTTTTTCACATTCAAAAGGGAAACAAAAACATTTTTAACAGTTCTAAAAGCTTTGAATTATTTAAAATACTATTTTGAATATTTAAACCAGATTCTAAGTGTTTGATAAAATCTCCAGCAACATGCTCATATTAGAATATAGATACAGCATAAGTCATTTCCCATATTTAGGCATCAGCTTCTTGGTAGTAACTAGAGTAATCACAGTTATCATTTTCTAATGTGTTTTGAAGATCACATGAGTATATTTATTGTAAATTAACATCTTACTAGGTAAAACAGTTGAGTGGTCTCAACGCCACTGAGCTAAAGTTAGCAACCACGTGATTTATGAACAGCAGAAGATGAGGTTTGAAAAATCATGAGAACTAAAGACATGACAGTTTCACATTCATTTCCAGAGATAACTTCTGCCCCATCTATGTCTTTTCATGCATTTGACCACAGTATAATTTTTCATGGACTGACACTGCTCTACTCCCTTAATGTCCTATTCTTCCCCAGCTACAGGAAATATTCTAAATAAAATTTTCATTGGGGGAAAGAAAAAGCAAAAAAAAAAAAAAAATTCAAACATTATGATTCTCTGAGCTCACAGGGCTTTTAATATACAAATGCAAGAATGAAGCCTTACCTCTTGCCTCTCATCACTTCTAATAATGAAAGCAAAGCTCCAAAGATGTCTGTGAACAGAACACATTTTGAATACCACTACTGAGTTGCATCTGAATTGCTTCTGAGGACCAGTCCTGACATCTTTCCTTGGCTGTTGGCAGTGTACAAATCTTACATGGGCAGATGTCTGTTAAAGTCCAAGAGGTTTGGTCCTTGTGAGCATTAAATAAAAGTGCTGACAGCCAGAACTGAACTGGTACCCTTAAGGAATGAATGAACTAACAGTTGTGTTAGACCCAGTAAGCTTCTTTAACTTATCCATCTGGCTTCTTAACCTTTTGACTACGTAATTACTCATAATAATAGAACTATTGTGCAATTTTTTTATATTTTCAATGGTTGTCAAACATAGTAGTTGGATTTAAGGAAAGGAAAGCATTAAAAATGCAATAAAGACAGTCTCCTAATTAAGCTAGTTATCATTACCACTATGAAAACAGTAAAGAATTCCCAATAAATTTAGTTACAGTTACTTATTTAACCTAGACATCTAGAAATATTTACATATATTCTATACCATGATCTATGTGATACATAGAATATAGACCCCTGGACTAGTCTCTACTGATTCCAGTCTTTGAACAATTCAAGGCAATTTACATTAATTAGTATGTGGTTCTCAGTGGGGATGCCAAGATAATGTAAAATTTATTACAAGAATCAAAGCTAGAAGCAGGACCTAAGACTTTATGCTAGTACTTGCTGGTGGATTTGATCCATGTTTGCTAATTCAATGAAAAAATATGTGACATTGTTCTTTAGAGTTAGAATATTTTTCCTCTAGGGTAAGACAAGCTACTAACATTTCACATCATGGACAAATAAAGAAAATTATATTCTCTTAAATAAATTGTACTATCTTTTAACATATTTCCATTGGAAGGAAGACACGCCTTTTGAATTCTTGAATAGGTTAAATACATTAATCACTAGCTTTCAAGGAAAAGAAGTCATAAGAATGAGCTCAAATAACCATTGTTAAAAGGCCTTGCTGCTGTGTTTGCTCTCTACAGATTCTTGGCATTTCCACAGACACCATCCCATCCATGCAGCAGAAAGGAGCTTGTTCTGATATGGGCTAAGGGCTATATGCAAGACTCTCCTTTTGTGACCTGTATAATAAAATACGTACAAAAGAAAATGAAAGATACAGCAGAATTCTACACTGATTATGCCAGTCATTTTCACCAGCCCCACCCATACTATGGCTTGTTCCACTTTTACTGCTGCAGAAAAACATGCTGCATAGGATATGGGAAGCTAGGATTATTTGTTGAACATTTTCAGAGCTGAAGGCAATGTATTCTTATTAGAGACCAGGCTTTAACTGACAGAACTGAACCACACTGAGGGGATATTTCTGTCTAAGGAATATGCTGAACCTGAACTCTGGAGTCTCCACACATTTACAACATCTGTCTCATCTATATTTGGTAATGGCTCTCACTTCTGAGCTTTCCCATCTTGCTACACAGGCCTTGCAGACAGTTTGTAGCTGATCCAAAAATAATGAGAGTGTCTCCAACTACTTGGCTATTACAGTTAAGATCTTTTAATAGCGATCCCACTAAACCATCTGATGAAATTGTGTCTTGAGTTCATCTGCATTGGCAGTAAACCTTGGGTCTGTACACTGAAGGCAAGAAGCTCCCCCAGTCCAGCAGCACAAAGAATGTGCAAAGCTCATCAAGCTGGTTATAGAAGAACCTCCCTCAGCAGAAGCAACTGAATTTGAACCGAAGGCAGAAAGAGGCTGGTACTAAACTGAGACTGTTGAGAGCTGTATTTACCAAACAGCTCTGCTACACAACTCCTGTATCATCAATGCTAAGCAAACCCATGAGGTTTTTAGGCACACAGTGGTGTGAGAAATTTGAAGCCCTTTTCCTTGTTACTGCCCATTGGCTTCTCTATCTGGGTGAGTTACTGACAATCACATAGCTAAGCTAGTCACACAAGGGGAAACAAACGTTTCTGAGTCATAGTTTCTAAAAAGACCAGATGAACCGCATCCTAAAAGGAAGTGTGAAGGTAAGAAATCATGTCTGACCAACTTAAAAGAATCTGGGTGACCCATGTACTCCCATCACTTCTACCTGAGTTCTTCAGGAACACAAGAGGATTGCACTTGTCTAGCTCAAAATATTATGGGGATAAACAGGTGAGGAACTGGAAAGCCCTCTGAAACTGTGGTACTTACCACAATGGTACCTGATGAAGCCTTACAGGACTTTTGTAAATGGACGGAATACCCCAACTTGTGAAACTGCTGCAATGGCTCTTTGAAGACACTGTAACTAAAAGAAAATATCTGCTGTCCTGGTGCTGAGTAGTACATGTTCCTCCTAAGCTTTGTGACTTGAGTTTCAACACCACCATTAAATTATTTCAGCAGAGATTAATTTTCAGGTCAGGTTTTTCTCCTTCTCAAGTTATTGAAATGTATACAATCTTCACTATATATTTAGGACCATGAGTTTACAGCTCAGTGAATTCTGTGTCCATTCAGTGTCTATAATGAGCTTGAGATGTAGTCTTTGGAGGCATCCAAAACTTCCACAACACTGACTGAAATTTGGTTAATAGTCTAAGTCAAAAAGTTTTTTGAGTGAAGTTTTCTGGATTTATTTCATTGTTTCAAGATGACATTCAGGTCAAGTATTTTTCAAAGCAATTACATATCTTGCTTATATCTGTGTTCTTTGATCTACAGTAATTTTTCTAAGGGGAGAACATTTACAGCTAAAATTATTCTCTTTTTTCTTAATAAATTAATAGTTCTATAAGAAGTATCTCAAAAGTGGACTGAATGCTATAAAAATCTTTCAGTTATCATGTTCTGAATATGCTAAGTGACAGTCAATCTTAATTACTACAGTACTCAACCGGTGCTGATAGATCTTCATTGCTAGCTGAGGTCTTTAGCATTTGCAGGAGCATTAAACAACGAAAATCAGTTATAACTTATGTGATCATTTCTTTGGATGTAAAACTTCTGTGGTTAAGGGTGTCTCATGTTGACTTAGAACCATCTCATCCATCACAGTATATTTTGTGAGCATATTTTGATACATCCAAAATTTCTTCCAACATTAAATTGCTTATAGCAAGTTATTAAGAGTCTTCATAAGCAAGACTATGTCTGTGTAGCAATGACCTGGTCATTTTGTTCATGAATAGCAGCAGAAACAGAGAGGCTTACTAGCAAGGACCAACTTCTGTGTATAGTGGAGCCCTACAGCACCATATACAATACAGAGCTGCAAGGAAAGCAGCAGGTTACAAGGGAAACACTCTGCACCACATTGCTTCACAGCCAAAATCATTCCTTAAAACCCAGACAGCTCTAAATAACACATGGAGATTTGTTTTGAACATCATTTGGAAGCTGGTTCAGTATTCCTGCCTGATGAGCTGCAAAAGCAGTCACAGCTAGTTTTTATCACCTGGAGGGTCATCAACCTAGAATATACTGGAAGCAACCTGACATTAGCACATTCAGTCCAGACTTAATGAACCTTAGGAAGAAGAGGAAATACACAACCTGAATCTGGCACGGCCTTAGAAATTATAGGAAAGTATCCCATCATTAAAGCCAAGAACTTTCAGAGATGCAACCTGTATTATTATCTTTATATGTCAACCTTTACAACCCCACAGTCAGGACTGTGCACATGAACACATCTATATAGGCAGAGGGAGGATGGGAAGCTCTTTACTCTTTTCTTACACAAATGCATAAGGTACGCGCTTGCAAAATCACACTGATTAGACAGATAGACAACTGAAATAGTCAAAACTATTAACTGAAACACTTGCCATAGCATTCTGGTGAATTGAAAAGCATAGGATATTTCCATATTTTTGTCTGATTTCCAAGAAGGCCTTGTCCCATCATCAGTTCACTGGTTTTGGGTAACCAGAGTAAGGAACAAATCCATTGAAATTTAAAATTCTGCCTTAGTTTTCAGAAAGGCTTAGCATACACCATTCAGAGACCTGAAATGTTATTTACAATGTTTAAACAAGCTACTGGGAAATACTCACAGCAGAATATTCACTTTTTTAGAAGGATCATTTAATTCCTTACAGCTCTTCAAAGTACAGTTTCCTTGTTGTCCTATCTAAATGTGGTGATAACCTATCAGTATAAAACCAAAGCCCTTAAAACACATCCCCAACTAAGTTGTAACAGCTCCAGCAAAGCAAAAGTTATGCTGCTTTACTACAGCTAAGAACCTGTTCCTCTGTCTCCTAATATTCAAACTCTTACACCTCTCCTCACTCCTATGCTCTGGGAATTTTTTCTCCCTTTCAACATTCTCTTCACATGAAGAGATTTGGCCAAAACTATTATTACCAGTAAGGAAATAAGATCTGAAGTGTGAATATCTCCTCCTCAATCACTTAGGTATGCAGATAGAAGTGGTGAATGAGAAACAACAAACAGCTTCTGAATCCAATCACACACTACAGTGCTGAATGCAGCACAACTGCACATCCAGGGAAAATCCTGCTGTTCCTGTGACTGCAGAACCACCCTCCTAGTCAACTGGAGTTTGCCAGATGAGCACAGCTATACAAAAACATAGCCTAAGTAGGTAGACATTTCATAATTTCACCTGAGAATCTGTAGCTGCACTTTGGATAACTTCCCCACATTTTATTTCCCAGACAATGAAAATGCCATTTTTCATTCCACCTCCTGTGGTAGGGACTTTAGTCTGCCAAGGGCACCAGTTTATAGTCTAAAAAATAAAAAAGATAACAAATGACAGAACAGACTAGGAGGTTAGCTGGAAAAACAGAGCAGTTTTATCTTAGTTGGAAAAATGAACTACAACAAGCACCCAGAACGTACACAGAGTGCAGAGTAGGATCCCAAAACTTCAAATGATGCTTCCCTTTGCCATTGCTTCACAGTAGCCTACACAGTTCCATATATCCTCATAAAACTCAAGCTTCCCTTCTTATCCTTAACAAGTCACAGACTTACATCTCAATATTACAAGAACCCAGAAGTATGAAGTCATGCTGCCTCAGCCAACCCACCACAGAAGTCTAAGCAAAGTGACCTATGGGGCTTACAAGAGTCCTAGTTTCTTCTGGAACATTTCCAGGATATGCCTAAGGCCCAGAATCTACTTGAAAAAATGCTTCTCAGAACTGAATTCCACCTCTTACAATAAACTTTTCTGGCCCCTTAACCCTAGCAGTTCAGGCCAACCTCAGACTCTTTTGTAAGGATAAAAGGCTTATAAATGCTAGACTCCCCTACCTCTTACTGGTAATACCTGACCTATCTTCCAAACAGACAGAGACTTAATGAAGAACCCCAAATAATTTCATTTAGAATTTCCTTCTTCAGATTATTTGACACCAACAACAACATGAAAATATGGGCAGGAGGGCAAAAGACACCTCATGTATTAAATTAATTGCAGCAAAAACTCCCAAGACCAAAATGTCTTGTTTGCAAACTTGTGAGTATTGCACCACCAAACTTTTCTGTGCAAGGTAAGTAGATAGAGGAGAACATGGTAAAATTTATTTCTGTTTGCCAATAGATTTACAAGGGCCTTCTAATCCAGTAAAATTTCCTAATGAAAATCCTAGCAAACTTATCTATGAGGAGAACTGGTCTTAAAGTTAACTGCATCACAGACAGAAGAAACTAATAGATATCAGTGAGATAATTTGAAAAATTTTTCTAACTGTCCACATCAACAATGTGCTTTCATGAGAACTAATAAAGAAAAACAGACATTCCTTCTTCATATTCCTTAACTGCAGAGGAATAGGTATGGTTTTCAGTGGCCGTGACTGCAATTTTCCACTAGGGTCATAGGCCAGATATTCAGTATACCACCACTAGACCCACCTGCCAGCAACTGGTTGGTTAGTAACCATTTCAGGCTGCAAATGCCTCGTTTGTTCTGGTAAAAAGTAACAACATGGTGGGGAACATCATGGTGATGAATAGAAACTAGTCATTAACCACTTTAGATAAGAAAAGATAGCATGGGTTTAATGATAAAGAAGACAAGCTTCTTTGTCACACTGATGTTTCTTCAGTGGTTTCAGAAGCAAACCACATCAGAGTGAAATGAGTCTGCAGAACAATAGTATTTCAGTAAAAGGAAACTCAAGCCAACTATCAGAAAGTAAAGGTGGCTGACAACAAAAAGGAGCCAAGCAGCCATTCCTTTCCAGCCAGGCAGAATACCTGTTGTCCCTCACAGTTTCATTTCCATGAGGACACATCACACTGTATGCCACTAATCTGCACCCTGTTCAACTGTCAAGCCATTTAATGTAAACTATTTCCTGTTTTTCGTGAATTTTTTTTTGTAAGATGGTTCTTGCCAAGGCCAGGTATGACTCTACACCCAAGAAAAAGACAGTGTGAAAACTCCACTGTGCTGGGAAAGGGCTTACTAGCAAGTAACTGTGTTCTTCCCTTATCTCCTTTCTCCCTCTCACTCCAAGGCTTCCAGAAAATCTGCACAGCTTGCTACTGTTACACTAATTGCCTATTAGGAAATGGATGCATGGTTCTACAACCAGTATCATCAGTCTACTAAGGGAAAAAAAAGGAAGGAATACCTTGTGTGGTAGCACAGCTACTGTTACAGCTTAGCTCCTAGATATGCATTTTACACATCAATAATGGAGTCAAACTGAAAATATTAAAAGTACCTTGCGCTGTATTTTCTTTTCCTGTCTTTCTATGGATATTACTTACATTAAAACTAGGATAAAACAGAAGAGCTTCCTACTGGAAATTCACAATTACAGCTAATATGGTGACACTGACATAAAATCAGCAAGTTCACTACCACCTTCATGGGTATTTGAGAAACAGAATCTGACATTACTGCCAGAGATTAATTTACAGTGTTAAGAACTGGAGACTTTCTCCTACTGGTTCTACAAGATTTTTCAGATATGTGCTGAGTGATTTGGAAGAAAAATCACACAAAACTGACTTATTAAAAGAAATGTCATTGTGTTGTGCTTGTATAGTGGACTAGTCAAGTTCTTGAAGATCACACAAGCATGGAAGATTCCAACAAGCAGCTCTCCAGTGAATGTTAAGCACATCTTCATAGAAAATACATATGCAACTACATGGGTATGTGTGCATTATCATTTGCCTCCTGAAGATTTATATAGAATTTTTCTACTAAATAATGATAAGAAAATCTAACCTAGTGAGTTAGACCCCTAGATGAGGGGGTCTAGATGAGGAGGACCTTGTTTTCCCCACTGCAGCTTTGCATTAGTGGGTAGAAAGCAGTTTGTATGAAACCCAAGTTTTGGCAGCTGTGAGCAGTTTTCACACAGATCAGCGCTGTCTTTCCAGCATTCCCCCTGCATCAGTAGGCTAGGGATGGGCAAGAACTTGGGAGGGGACAGAGCTGGGACAGTTGACCCAAACTAATTAGCTAGTTATTCAGCTGTATCCTTGTACCTCACTCCACCTGGCAGACCTAATACAATCAAAATCCAGAGCAACTTGTGAAATCAAAGTTAAACCACCACTAATGTTCCTATTCAGAAATACTAGTTTCATTTTGAGTTTAATAATAAAATCAGTACTCCCTTGCTATTATTTTCACACTTAAATAAAACAAAATACTATCATATGATTTTAAAATCACAAAAGCATCCATCATAAACAAGTCTAATCTCAAGCCCTTGGAGTGTGAGTCAAAGATCTAAAACAGAAAGTGGGATGAAAAAAATACACAAAAGAGTACATTTGTTCTTTCTCATCTGAGTGCACAAACTGAAATCACCATCATCATCATCATCGTGGCTAGGCTTCACAAACGAAGATTTGAGAAGGGTTCTACCCACGCTTGCTACAAGCATGCTGGTGGCTAAAAAGGCCAATGCGAGATAGACAAGTCCGGTTGCAGAACATACAGCAGAAAGACTCCCCAGGTGATATCGACAAGACGTGATTCTTTCTGCGTTGTCTTTTCTCCTCGAGAGTGATCCTGCGTGTGTTCTCAAAAGCAGCAGCAGCGTTATAGATGTTGTGCCTCCAGGCCTCTCAGTTGGAGGCCAGGGTAGACCAATGGTGGTGATCAATACAGCCAAGGCTGAGAGATTGTTTCAGGCAGTCCTTGTATCTCCTCTTCGGAGCTCCTCTCTTTCAGCAGCCAGTGGTAAGTTCCCCATAGAGCACAATCTTAGGGAGGCGATGGTCCTGCATCCTGGAGACTGCCCTGCCCAAAGCAGCTGAGTTCTCAGCAGCATGGCCTCAATGCTCGTGACTGCTGCCTGTTCAAGGACAGACGTGTTGGTCACATAGTCAGTACAGTGGATGTTTAGGATTGTACGGAGGCAGCGCTGATGGAAGCGTTCTAAGAGACGCAAGTGGTGGCAGTAAATGACCCATGATTCAGACCTATATAAAAGAGCAGATAGTACAATGGCTCTATATAAATATAAATACTGATCTTTGTACTTTTCTTCAGTTGCAGATACACAGGAGAGGTGTGCAACTCTTAACAATTCTGTTTCACTGAGCATCTGAGCAGACAGATTCAGTCTTGATATCAACAGAGGGCCATTTAAACTACATACTGTCTCCCCAGCACTGGGCAGCCCATGATTTTTGGAGTTCAGACCCACTGGAGATAACTCAATTTCAAGATCGGGCTTTGCACAAAACTAGAGTTACAGCTTCCAAATCCAACTGAAATTCTGCAAGCGGTAACACAGTTTTCTGGAAGGAGAGTAAGAAGCAGGGACTAAAGAGGCAGGTTAAATCCCCTTTGACTGCTTTCCTGCCACAGAGTAAATCTATGTATGATTTCTGAGGTATGGGATTAATAGAAGGACAGGAAAATCAATTTGAACAAAGCCAAGAAGAACAGCTAAAATGAATTGGACGTTTGTCCAAGTAGAAAGAGCAAGACTCTTTCTGGGAATATACTGTGCTACTCACCTGCTCAGAATATAACGATTCTAGTTCAGAGCTCCAATTACAGACAGGTGGCCAAACATATTTTTCTACCTATTTCTTGTTTCAATCTCCCTCAAGTGCCAATCTAAAATAAACAAGAAATGTGACATTAAAAAAAAAAAAAGTTCCCTTGCCACTGCCCAGTTCTGAATTCACATATGGACAATCCAAAGTTCATTTATTTCACAAGTAAGACAATAAGTATTTCAGAATTTTGACACCTATATCAGTGATATTGAAGTCAGACAGGATTGCAGGGGATGCACATCTGTGAGTTTGAAGCTCTTTATTTACATGTTAGTATTTGGAAGTTCATACATGGAAGCACTGGCCTTCACTACCTTCATATTGCTGACTGGCAACTGCAACAGGTAGGTCCACGTATTATCTAACACATAATTTTTCACAGGAAAAATTGTTACCAGCAAAACTTTTCATATGTGCTCTCCTACTTCAAACCACTCCCTCCCCCCATATAGTAATTATCTTTTTTTGCTTTCCTGTGTTTATTTCCCCAAAAAAAGTCTCCTCCCTCAACACCTAACCACAGGAAAAGGTTTTTAAAACACACGTACTTTGATCACACCACACTAAGCTCGTGACAGAACATTAACGAGAAACAAAAGCAAGTACAATATGGGCAAGAAAAAGAGTCATCCTTTGTGGTCATTATCTATGCTTCAAAGACTCCTAAACATAATAAAATTTTTTAAAAATGCCAGATCATTAGTACTATGTATCATTTAATGCTAGATTTTTATGTTTAAGAAATTATATTGCTGTAGAATGCAGAGTAGAATGATGGAGACTCACATTTTTGCAAATTTTGTCCATATTTTAACTTCCTATTTTAAATTATGCTCCAGAGGGGAGTAAATAGTATGAGTATTAAAAGTTTCAAGGGCAGAAGATGTTACTCGTCTCTACAACTAACCTCTGTTCAAAAAAAAATCAACACTGAAAAAGTTTTTTTACTTTGTAGATTAAATACACACATAAACATCCTATATGAAAGTCCAGTGACAAACTGTGGAGAACTTATTTCATGCAATCCTTCCCTACTCTGTGCTGAACCTTGTCTCCTAATCCAAAATTCAGTTTTGACAGACAACAAGTGTTTCCCTCCCTCTCAGCTGTGATACTCCCTCCTTCTGAAGACGAGCAAGAAGCACAATAGGGTGATTTTCTTCCGTCTCTAAAATGTTTTTCAGTTAAAAAATTAGGCAGGTTTTCAGGAAGGACTTCAGATCTGGCCAATGGGATATGTAGCACTGCATTCTAACCCTAAAAAGGTCTAACAACAGTAAAATGGGATTTGGTTTAAAGAAAAACCTGTACTTTTAATTTCTAGACTTTTCATTATGTTTGGAAAATTTTACAAAGCCTTCTTGAACCCAACAAAGTAAGATAATTCAGGAAAATTAGGCATTTAATTGTCATATTTGATGAATAGCAACACTTCTGAAACACTGAAAATGTTTTTCTTCTTCAACACTTGTAGCTGGCATTGCACAGTGAAATAATAACAGATTAAATCATCTCTGTAACTCATTTCAGATTTTTGCTCTCTCATCAGTAATTCGTATACCCCAAAGTATAGGAATACCTGAATTATTTCACAGGTTATCTGTTCAGATTCCCTGTTTCCAAATCACTTCCTAATTCACTCCCTTATGTTCATTCATTCCTAGGATACTTTATGGAGCAAAATAATCAACTCCCCCCCACAGATGAAACCAGAGGCAGTGCTGGGGACAGTTTGTTCCAGTTATCTTTTCCTACAGGTTAGAACAACAAGGCTCCACAATCTCTGCATGTCTTGCACTTTCATGTCCATATGATACATATCCTCTCCCATTCTGCAGCACAACCCAATACTATTTGTAGGATCCTGGAACAGAAAAGCAGAGAGGAAACTAACATTTTAGGGCCATCAGTGCATCTGATTGGACCCAAAAGATAGCCAGGTAAAATGCTAGGGTTTAACTACATTGAAAGAGCTGGAATACTATCTGCTCAGAGGTTGTAAGAGCTCTTGAAAGAAGCCCTGAGCAGTTAAATCTCAGCCACTTCTTATTATTCTTTAACACTTGCTGGAATAATTAGAAGCACCTTTCCAATGTAGATGCAAATTTCACTTTCTTGGTATTCATTGTGCCTGAAAATGTTTGCTCTGTACACACACCTTTCCAGATGCAATCGGCATTTTCACAGACCTTCACACTACCATGCCCTTCAATGCTATATCCAACCTCTTGGACCATTGGAAGCTAGAAGCACTTTTCTGCCAATATGCGACTCAATTAAGAATTGTTGTAAAACATATTTAATTAGCATGGATGACACCAGTCCCATCAAAGAACTCAACACTCATTATAAGAAAGCTTCGAAAGAGTTTGTATCTGAGATGAGAGATCAACAGCAAATGCAGAATACCAGTGCAGAATACCAACGCAGAATACATGTGCTCTAACTTCAGAGACTTGAGACATCTTTCCTCCCATAAAACACCAATTCACTACTAATGATCACACAAATTTAACAAAGCTGTTTGAACAAGGCCACTTTACCAGAGAAAGAAGTTCCAGGCCTGTACATCTGGAGCAGCTACAACAGGTCACCTGCCAAACCTTACTGCCCTCTTGTCCTCTTCTGTATAGGCACTTGGGCTGATGCTGCCAGCTTACCACGTAGCCAACAAGTCTTTGAAGGATGATCAGTTTTGTGGTGCATACACTGCAGGGCCATTGATTCCAGCATGAGACCTACTGGATATTAGAGTCCCTCAAAGCAGCGTCCCAGACACTGGACTCCATGATACCATTCCTTAAACCAACATTACAATATGAAACTGAAAATAGGTACAAGTTATCTCCAAGGAATGAGATCTTCTAAATTCCATTATCATTTCCTTTGGTACCAAAGAAACAGATGATGAAGCAAAAATGAAAAAACGGAGATCTGAATTGTTACTGGATTTTTTTTTTTTTTTTTTTTTTTTTTTTTTTTTTTTTTTTTTTTTTTTTTTTTTTTTTTTTTTTTTTTAAATAATTAGCTGAGGTCTTCAATCAAGATTTGGACAAAGGCCCAGATCAGCTCACATGGGACACGACCATAGCTACCAGTTCCTAGTAATGTTCATTTCTTCACAATGTTCACTGAGATTAATGCTCTGACATCAGTTCTCTGCTTATTCTGTAATTCTTTGTTTACAGTAATGTGGAAATGCAGCTGATGTTTTCACCAGCCACTCAAAATCAGTAAATTCTTTCTCCAATGTCTGTGAAATCCACCTTTCCAAGCACAATCTGTGTTACTCTTCTTCAAAACCCTGCTACAATCATGACAAGAAATGTCTTAGAAAAAATATAACTGGGAGAAAAAGTAAGTGTTTCTTCTTTATATATTCCATCTGTTCTACGGTGGGCCTTCAGCTTTGAGAAGCATTTTCTGTAAGACTTACACAGACTACTTGGCAGAAAGCTAATCACATAGCTTGGATCTGTGTCCTTCTAAAATAAGTGCAGACATTTCTGTGGAAAACTCATTGTGTATACAAGGAAGTAATATTTTGGCCCGCAGAGAGACCACACGCATTCACTGATATGTGAGAAGATTTTATTCTCAATGGATCCCATCCCTTTATCCTACTAGGCAACACAAAGTAAATAGTCATTAATTTCTATATCTAAGATTAACAGATTTTTGTAAGCATTTAGCCAGGACTGACTTTCAAATGGTTTTAGGAAGAACTTAGGTTTTGGTCATGCCACCATGTATCACCAAGACCCCCATACCACAATTCAGAAAATGGTTGTGGTTCTTGATGTAGAACTCTGAATATTTTAGCTCTAACTCAACTCCTACTTGTAAGTTACAGTTGAGTTCTAGGTTTACATAGAATCATAGAATATCCTGAGCTGGGAGGATCACTGAGTCCAATGCATGGCCCTGCGCAGCACAATACCAAGAATAACACCATGTGCATGAGAGCATTGTCCAAACGCTTCTAGAACTCTGTCAGGCTTGGTGCTGTGACCACTTCCCTGAGGAGCCTGTTCCACTGCCCAGTCATCCTCTGAGTGAAGAACCTTTTCCTAACATCCAGCCTAAACTTCCCCTAAAACAGCTTTGGGCCGTGTCCTTGGGTCCCGTCACTTTTCACCAGAGTAAGGGACAGTGAGGGACAGTGCCTGTCCCTCCACTTCCCCTCATAAGGAAGTTGTAGACTGCAAAGAAGTCTCTCTTGGTGTCCTCTCTCAGTGTCTTCTTCTCCAGGCTGAACAAACCAAGTGACCTCAGCCATGCTTTATGCAGCTTCCCCTCTAGGCCTTCTTTGTAGAGTGAGTCACTTCACTGTAGGGATGAAAGAATGACACACAGTCCTGTATTGGGAACAGTGCTGTTTAATATCCCCATCAACAGCATAGACAATGGGACTGAGTGCACCCTCACCAAATTTGCAGATGACACCAAGCCTAGTGGTGCAGTTAACTTACCTGAAATACAGGATGACATCCAGAGGGACATGGACAAGCTTAAAAGTGAGTTCATGGGAACCTCATGAGGTACAACAACGTCAAGTACAACATCGTGCACAAAGGTCAGGGCAACCCCCAGTATCAAGAAAGGCTGGGGAATGAACAGGTTGAAAGCAGTCCTGCCCAGAAGGACTTGAGGGTACCAAAGGGTGAAAAGCTGGACATGTGCTGGAAACGGGTTATGGCCCATAAAACCAACTGTATCCTGGGCTGCATAAAAACCACACGGCCAGCAAATCAAGGGAGGTGATTCTGTCTCTATTCCACTTTGGCAAGACCCCACCTGGAGTGCTATGTGCAGGTCTGGGCCCCTCAGATCAAGAAAGACATGGAGTTGTTGGAGTGGGCCCAGAGCACAGCCACCGAAGTGATCAGAGGGCTGGAGCACTGTTCTCTGAGGACAGGCTGAGAGAGTTATGGTTGTTCAGCCTGGAGAAGAGAAAGGCTCTGGAGAGACCTTATTTTGACCTTTCAATACTTACAGGGGGCAGACAAGAAAGATAAGCACAGACTTTTTAGCAGGCCCTGTTGTGATGGCACAATGGGTAACGGGTTTAAACTAAAAGAGGACAGACTGATACTAGATATAAGGAAGAGATTTTTTACAGTGAGTGACACATTGAAATAGGTTCCCCAGAGCAGGGGATGGAGCAGGAATGCTCCATTCCTGTAAACACTCAAGGCCAGATTGGACCTGATCTAGTTGAAGATGTCCCTGCTCATTGCAGGGGCTTTTGGACTAAATGACTTTTAAAAGTCCCATCCAACCCAAGCTATTCTATGACTCTATGATTAAGAGTGAATAAATAACATGTACTCATCTTCTAAAAGATTTTACACTTTAAGGAAAAATGTTTTACATACATTGCTTCATAGAAAATGCTTCTCCTCTCACCACAAAAAAAAGTTATGTTCAATTTCTCTGTTGGCTAGATTTACTTAGGATTATTAAACCAATTGAGTTGTGTATTCTAATACTTCTAAAATACACAGACTCTCCAATCAGTTCATGAAGGGCAACAGGAAGAAAGAAATCACTGCTGTTGAAAGGACGATTTTCCAGACTGTTTTGTTTATTAAGAGAAGAAAATTATTGTCCCAAGGATCAGGTTGCCTGGAGTGATACAAAATTGTTTTTTTTCCAACATCCAATGATACTCAAGAGTGCAATTATTACAAAGTGTCAGCCAACAAGCCTGTTATGCCATCTGTCCTGACACTACCTCCTTCTCCCAGAAGCTGAGCTTAATACCCTCATAGAAACTTCTCAAGTATATAAATTTAAGATTATAATTTAGGGCATTAAGAATGCATCTCTGAAGCAACCTTACTTAACAGTTATGGTCGAAAAAAAAATTAATGCAGAAACAGCTATTAGCATTTTCAGTACTGACCTTGCCACTGATGCCATCCAAGAAAGGAAAGGATAAGAAAAACCGTGGTCACTGAATAAAAAAATATGACTTAATATATGAACAGTCACAAGGAAATAGCAAGAAAAAAGAGAGGTGGGTTTGAGTGTAATGTTATGGTAATAGATTTTTTAAGTACCATCATGTTTCACTAAGTACCATCATGTTTCACATGAGAAATCAGTTTTCACATTAGTGAAGAGAACCAAGTGGGTGGGGAGAGAACATGGATTTATGTTCCAAAAAGGAATGGATAATGCCTAAAAAAAAGAAGAATGGTGTGTCAGTCTTCACTAAGAAAAAATAACTGATAAGGTGTACAGCAATAGAAAACAACACCTAAATGGGAAATTATCTGAGCTCTTTGTTTCACATTAGGCAGACTCCATGTGTTCTCTCACCGTTGACCAAGAATCTGACCACTTACTGTCATGATAAAAAACATATTCTCAAAATCTACTTCTTGGTAATTTTTTCATAGCACCTCATTCTGTTTACATGACAAAATGAACAGCTACATCCTGCCAAACTGAAGCAATTATCTTCTTCACACACAGTGGTTATTAAGGCAAGTGGAAAACTGAGTCATTCATGCTTTTCATGCGTAATTCTTACAACACACGCTTTCCCTCAGAAATAACAAACCCATCTTGAGGGTTTCACTAGTCTAGTTTTAATTTTGCTTTGCAGAATGATAGTCTGGAGAAAGGAGAGTGAACTTGAATCAAATAAATTACAAAGAAATTGCTCCTGACTTTCTTGTAGCAGACATTTCCTCAGTGGACCTTTTTTTGTTACTGTTTTCCATGTCAACAAGGTATTATCCTCATAACATATTCCAGGCCAAAAACAAGGTAAAATACTATATCAGAAAAACAAATATTCTACCTATATATTTGAATGCTACACTATTCACCTGTTTCTTTTCTATTTCAGCTCTCCTGTTATTCCTTCCTTCCAAAGCTTTTGCAGCATGACTGTTGGATAAAGTCACAAGAGTTTTCATGATGGAGAGTTTCTTAGACACCTGACAACAATTGGGCAAACAATTTTAATTGAAACAATTCCTTAAAAAAAAAAAGATATAGAGAGGTATTTGTCAAGTACTTTTCAGGATAATACTGACTGTACAATAGCAGTACTCTAAAGGCAGATTTGACACACTAATAGGGACAGTGCAAATACTGACATTTGAATCAGTAACCCTGGTTTCCTTTTGTGAATGAAGAGAAAGAGACATTTCTACAGCACTATTCATCTTATTCTAAAAGAGGTGTCTGGAAAAAAGTCAGATTGATCACTCCCTGTATAAAGAATGCCTGTTTATTACTGCATGTCATATCCAGCCTTAGATTTATTGACACCAGGTCATTCCCCATAGGAAATTAATATCTGATTTCCCACAACCATACAGGCTTTCACCACTGCTAGTAAAGATAGCATGCAGGACTTTTTGTTCTAGAAACTGAAGAAGGAAAGACTTCACACTGTCTTAGAACTTGAATTTCCTAGACATGTGCATGCATTATTCGAAAGTTCTGGTATTCTGCTTAGCAGAAAACAGAACACTTTCTGCAAATACCATAGGAACATATCCTGAACACTTACTCTCTAAATATTTCAATTATTAATCAAGAGGTCAACTGTGTTTAGATCTCTACATCTTCAAGAAAGTTCTTCTTGGACAGGCAACCTGCAAACCCTTCCCCACTTTACCCTAGCATTGCTTGAAGCAGAAGTCAGGACCCTCAAAGCTTATTCAACCTTTCTTCAGCTCCCTCTGTTGCTAATGGAGAGAAACAGCCTCCCCTAGACTCAGGTCTCCTCCAGACCAACTCAGAGTGCTGGAAGTTTGGTCTGTTTTCTGAACGGCCCTCAGGTAAGTGAGTTGAGTGTCAGTGTCCCTTGGCTGCTGTCCCTTTGTCAGTACATGAAACCTTAGGCATTGGAGGAGAAACAAGAATACAAGACAAGCTCCTCCTTCAGTGAGTATACACTACAGTAAATCCAGACCTGCAGACTGATCCAAGTTCTGCAGTTCCAGCTAAGTCTGCAGGAGCTGCACACAAGGCAGGAGAGAAGCAGAAGGAAGTGAAGGAGAGAAGCCTGTACAAGCTCCCTGCTCTCCTGTCAGTTATTGATAACTGTTCCAGCTATGAAACTGCTGCAATAGACCCTGTGCACTCTTACAGTCCAGTGAAACTTAGACCCATTTCAATACATCTTCCACCACAGAGGGAAAAAAGGTTGGTCTGCCAACAGGTATTGCTTGACTAGGGGTGAGACTTGCTTTTCTCTCCTTCCTTTCACCCTCCTCGATGTCAGCTGCCTGTGTGTTCTGCTGCCCTAAGCTGTCTGTGTGACCTGCTGCCATAGGCTGTCTGCACACTGGTGAGGGGAACCTTGGGCTGAGCTTTCCTCTCACAATAGCAGCATGGTCCTGCCAAGAGAATGACGGAATCACGGAATCAATTAGGTTGGAAAAGACCTCTGAGATCATTTAGTCTAACCAATAACTGAACTACCACGTCAACTACACCATGTCATGAAGTGCCAAATCCAGCCTTTCTCCTGGGCAGCCCATTCCAATCTTTAATCACCCTTTCTGTGAAGAGACTCCTCCTAATGTCAAACTTAACCCTCCCCTGGTGCAGCCTAAGATTGTGTCCTCTGATCCTGTCACTAGTTGCCTGGGAGAAGACACTGACGCCCATCTGGCTACAACATCCATTCAGGTAGTTGTACACAGCGATGAGGTTTCGCCTGAGCCTCCTCTTCTCCAGACTAAACAAACCCCAGCTCCCTCAGAAGGGACTGTGCTCATAGGACTTGTGCTCCAGAACCTTCACCGGCTTTGTTGCCCTTCTCTGCACTCACTCCAGCACCTG